TACTACATTAGGAAGAGAAATCAATGATTATACCTGTTACTTTGGCGAAAATCATAACCAAACCCGAAAAGCGTCTTCCCTTCTTGAAAACCCCACTTGATCATTTCAGCAATCATATCATGAAAATAACTAACACACTCGCGACCGATGATCTTGCATCAAGAGGAAAGAAGTTCATCCAAAACCATAATTAGTTCATTCCCATTAGGTTCCATACAAACTTAAGGGTCATACATGGGTTATCTTAGCAATTTCGAAATGTCAAGTCTCATTTTCACGGACAAAACGCTTCATACAAAATGAAATCTAACTTTAGTTAAGGGCAAGAAGTTTTGGGGTTAACATCCAAATAAAACTTCTTGCATCATACATTACATGATAGTAAGGGGAATATGTACATGCATGCAGCTTTATACCATATCAGGGTCCAAGACATCAATGGCTCGAAGTCCTTATCTTCCTTCAGGAACTTTAATACTTGTATTTGGATCTAAGGATACAGTTTTACCTGTTTCACAAACCATGAAACAACAATTACATAATCACTCCACAAATTTCCAAATATTAGCAAACAGATCCCAACACGCAATATCTGATACTCATGATTATGAATATAAGATGAGAATCTCAAGTTTCTTAAAATTCCCCAAAATACTCAACGAAACAAACACTTTCTAGTTTCAACAATTCCACTAAATTTCTTAGCACCAAAAAACCAAAAAAAATTACCAGTAGAAGGATCAAAACGAGACCAGAGCTTGGTCCTTAACTTATAATCGGCACCAAGGATCCGAACCCAAACCCGTTCTTCTTTCCCGTTTTGATTATCCACGGCATTCAAAATCGACCCGGCAATACCCGGAACTAATAAAACCGGGTCCAAATTAGGGTCAATGTAAGGTTGCGGCTTCTTAATCAGCTTCAACCACATCTCCACGGATTGTACAATATCTTCCAATAACATCGCCATCCCAAAATCAAAATCAATTTCCAAATTGAAAACAAAAAGATGAAAACTTTACAACAACAAAAAAAGAATTTTCCAAGGGAAATTTGGGTTCCCTTTCTGAATTTGAGGTTTCAGATTCTCGAGGAGAAAGAGTTCATCACTTTAAAGGAGAGACAGAGGAGACAAGCAACCAATTTACTTACAGAAGCTAAATAAAGAAGAAAACACAACAAATTATTATATATATATAATTAGTAAGTAATGGTCAAAGAATACGAATTCTTTTTGTTCTTATCTTATTTGGAACATCTTATTTTATTGGGTAAATTATGAGTTTAGTATATAAATTATCAATTTTAATATGTTTTAGAACTCAAACTTTTATTATTTTAAAATCATACCTAAATTTTTTTTTGTTTCATTTTAGTATCTCGTTCAACATTTAACGTTGAGTTTTGAAAAATTGAAAGTTGAGTTACTAAAATGGACGAAAATTGATAATTTAGGAACTAAACGCATAAGTTTTTAACGATAGGGTACTAAAATGAAATGAAAACTAAACATTAGGTAAGTTTTTTAAAAAATTGAAAGTTTAGGCACTAAAGCATACCGAAACTGATAGTTTACGCACTAAACGCGTTAAATTTTTAAATGTGGGGTACTAAAATGAAATGAAAACCAAATGTTAGGTAAGTTTTTGAAAAAAATATAAGTTTAGGTACTAAAACGGATCAAAACTGATAGTTTAGGTATTTATCATGTTAAGTTTTTAACGACATGGTACTAAAATTAAATGAAAACTAAAAGTTAGGTAAGTTTTTGAAAAAATTAAAAATTTAGGTACTAAAACATACCAAAACTAATAAATTATGTACTAAGCGCGTTAAGTTTTTTACATCAAGTTACTAAAATGAAATGAAAACTAAATGTTAGGTAAGTTTTTGAAAAAATTAAAAGTTTAGGTACTAAAACGGATCAAAACTGGTAGTTTAGGTACTAATTAAGTTTTTAACAGCATGATACTAAAATGAAATGAAAATTGAACGTTAGGTGAGTTTTTGATTTTTTTTTTAAAGTTTAGGTACTAAAACATACCAAAACTGATAATTTAGGTACTAAATGTGTTTAGTTTTTAACGGCATGGTACTAAAACGGATAGTTTATGTACTAAAAACATTGATCTTTAATGATATGGTACTAAAATGAAATGAAAACAAAACGTTAGGTATAATTTTAAAAAATAAAAAAATTAGGTATTAAAATAGATTAAAACTGATAGTTTAGGTTCTAAATGTGTAATTACTCTATTTTATTTTCAGGCTAACTTCAATAAACGTCCTCAAACTATAGTCTAGAGTAATTCAGTGCCTAATTTCAAAAATATTTTTTGATTGAATCTTCAGAGTATCAATATTGTATTGATGTACTTGAGCGATAAATGACAGTTTAAATCTGATGTAGAGTATATTTAAAGTACATCTATCAAATTTATGTTCAATTTCATAATTTAATATCCAAAAAAATCCATATATTTCAAATATATTTAAAATAATATTTTATGTGAAATTTAGGGACTAATCTATAACGTAAGCATAGTTTCTGATATTTGGTGCAAAGAAACTTTTTTCTAATATATAAATGCCACGCGTAGCAGCTACCATTTACCGACGTGTCCCAATCGCTAAGAAGACAATCCAAAGGGACTTGATCCACCAAATATTAAAATAATATATGTAAATAAAATAAAAATATTTTTGGGTAAACTAAGCTTTTATTACCTAAATTATTAATTTTTATCTGTTTTAGTATTTAAACTTTATTTTTTTTTTAAAAAACATACATAAAATTTAGTTTTTATTTCATTTTTAGTATCTATCGTTAAAAACTTAATGGACAGGCTAACATGACATAGTCCTACTGGACGAACAATCAATACAAACGGTAAACCACGGGAGAATTACGAGTTGACCAACATAGTCTAATTTCAGGCCCACTGAACGATGGACCATGGAGATTGAAGAATGAAGAAATCGAAGAGTCCATTATTGATTTGAGGAGATTAAGGCATTTTTCGATGAAACGGTGGCCGAAATCGTGTTCAGAATGTCGAAAAGGTGTAAGTTGGAAAGTTTGAGCTTGATAAACAGACGAATGCGACGATCAACGACTATAGACGTGGCGATCGACGAGCACGTTTACTAAGTTTTTAACGACATGGTATTAAAATGAAACAAAAACTAAAAGTTAGATATGATTTTGAAGAAAATAAAAGTTTAGGTACGAAAACAAACCAAAACTGATAGTTTATGTATTAAAAGCATAATTTACCAAATATTTTTTAAGGCTTAATACTAAAAATAAGTGCTCAAACTATATTGTTATTCTCAAATAGGTGTATAAACTATTTTTTTACTCATCCAGGTGCCCACAAACGTTACTCATTTAGGTGTCTGGTTTGTAATGGTCGTTATAAAACCTCGTTAAATGACACGTGTCACAATCTTATAATTTTAAAATTTTATTTTTCTTAAAAAATAAAAACATTATTTTAAAAAATCAAACGATCAAACCGTCGTTTGCCCCTTCTCCCACCCTTGCTCTCCTCCCCTTGCTCCTTTTTCCATGGCCAAACGACCACAGGTTAAACGCCCAACCAAATGATCGGCTGTCACGGTCGTGGAAACGGTCGATTATCACGATTTAATTTGAAGGATTGAGTATTGAGATTTTAGGGATTTTAGAATTTTAGGTTTTGAGATGATAATAAGAGTTGCAACCAATCATTGGATGATTGGCAACGTATGGGTGGTCGATCGCAGATGATTGGGTGACCGGAGATGATTGACAGTTGAAGTAAATGAGACTAGAATTAAAGATTTTAAGAGTCTGTGATTTTTTTACATTTAAAAAGAAAGGGGTTTTCAAATTTTTTAAATTTTTTTTTCTAAAATTACCAGATTTTGAAATGTGTCACGTAACGAAAAAATTTACACTATTGACGGTAACATTTGTAACGTTAAACACATGGATGAGTTAAAAAATAGTTTAAGCACATATTCGAGAATTTATGTATTGTTTGGACACTTATTTTAGTATTAATTTTTTTAAAATAAATTTATTCTTAGTTTCTTAAGAGGAATAGTAGTATGTTGTATTTGAGTTTCTTAAGTAGGTTTTATTCAGTTTATTTTCTTATCATGTTAAAATTAAAAAAAGGTATTAAGCATGGTTAATAATATAACAAAATCGAGGCTCTGATACCATGTTAAGCATCCAACATGAGTAGTATCGAAATACTCTAATCGATGTGGGATATCAACGCTTTAACGAACAAAAGTTGGGATTCGATTGTTCTCATTTATTTCTAGAGGTGAGTATTCGAGTGAGATTAATGAGTGCTTCCCTCGATCTCCTTACGTTCGAACTGCTATTTTTGGACAGAAAATCGATAGCTGCTGCAGGTGACCAACACACTTGTTTAAGTAATAACTTAAAACTCATAATATTAAAAATAACTCATCATTTATCTAAAAAATATAACATTATAAGTTTGTAACCCAAATTTTTTAAGGGTAAATTATGTGGATAGTTTCTTATATTTAGGGTCTAACTAACTTTGATCACCAATTTAAAAAATAAGGAGAAATGGTTGCTAACGTTGTTGATTCATTCAATTTTAGTCTCTTCACTATTAATTTTCATTAACTCCTTTTTGTTTAATTTTCTAACATGGCGGAGGGACTAAAATCAAACGAGAGTTAACGGATGGAGGACTAAAATCGAATGAATCAATAATTTTAGGGACTAAAACCGAACAGATCGATAACATTAGAAAATATTCTCTCTGAATTTTTAAATTAATGATCAAAGTTGGTCAAACTAAAAATATATGAAAGTATTTGCATAGTTTACCTTTTTTAAGATAAGTTTGTAACACAAATTTAATTAACTTATTGAGTCTATTTTGGTCTAAACCCAAAACATTAAGTGAAAAAATAATTATTTAAAACCTAAAACCTAAATATAATAAAAATTATTAAATCCCTAAATCCGTTCTTCTTCTTCTATATCGTGCGTGAGTGGGAGGGGAGGCAGAGACAGAAATGCAAGGCAAAATGAGAGAGAGAGAAAAGGTTTTTTTTTTCTTTTCAAATTCGTCCCTTTTCTTCTTTATTTTTTCATGTTCTTAAAAATAACTTACTTTTCTCCCGCTTCTTTTTCGCAGAGGTATGGCTGAGAACAGTTCCTGTCGGGATGTGACAATTAAAGACGCCAAGGGCCCTGCAGTTGATAAACATACTCCGATCGTCGATTCTGTTCGGCAGAAGTTGCCCCGTCTGCTTCTATGCCTTGGTGTTAAACAGCATCACTTTCCGAGCGTTCGGGCCACGACCCCCGACGGCTTCTATGCCTTCCTCGACTACTTGCTGACCCCCGAAAGACAGAAAGCCGTTCATGGCCTTGCCGTGGCTGATAAGCTCAAGAAGAAGGCCGGTGGCCTGTTTACTGTACAAGATGTTGCCAAAGTGGCTATGTTTAATGAACAGCGCGCTTCCTTCGCTTCTGCCCGTGCTGCTCTGATTAACGCCAAGGATAAGAAGATTGCTGATCTCGAATTGCAGTTGCGGAGGATGCGTGCTGAGAGAGAAGAAGCCCTTAAGTCACTTTGTCATGAATTCGCTCCTGATGGTGAATACGATGAGGCTGCATCGGAGCGGGAGATTCCTTAAGGGTAAATCCTTTCTTACTGTCATTCTTAAAGTTGATTGAGGGGCTTATATCTATTTGCTGCGGGACTCGATTGAGGAACAAGAACATAAATGGAGTTGATGGGATAAACGCTAGGCTTTGTAGTAGTTGGGGCATTGTGTATTTTGGGTTGGTTTTGTTGCTTTTCCATGGATTCTCTTGTAAGTGCACTCAAGGGTGTGTGTTTTGGACGTCATTAAGAGTCTTCATTAGGGATGAGTATGGTATCCGGATCGGGTTTAATTTTTTAAAAAAATTGGATTTATGTCGAGTTCGCATTTAGTGTGAAAAATTTTACTCGATCCGACCTAAAAAATAATCTAAATATATCTTATATATTTAGGTATAATTGTAAAAATATTCCTCTTTATATATATTTTTCAATTAAGTTCTTATTTATTAAATAAAATTAATAATTTTATATTATTTCTGGTCAGAATCGAATTTTATCTCAAAATTCGGGTTTTATATTAAGTCCCTTTTGATTCAGATTTTTCGTTTCTGTGGTAGCTTTTTGTTAGGACTATGATGTATTTATATCTTTAGTATAAATATTTTTTTGCGATGCATTTTATTTTTTATCATTTTCATAAATTTAACTTAGATTTTTGATAAAATCTATTACAAGAGTGTGAAGTTTAACTTATTAGAAAAGAAAATTAATCACAATGACAAGTTGGTAAAATACACTTGAAGATAATCTTATATTCCATCAACATAACACTGTCGACTTGCATGCCTATTAAATAATTCAAATAATATAATGTAATATTCACAGTAACACTTCAAGTAATGTTATATTCCAGAACTCTTATTATTAAAAATAATTTTACATTTCATGAACTAAATACATCGTTATTGTTTTCGGTCAAAAGAGCAAAACAGTGGGTGGACTTTCTTTTAGAGAAATAATGTTAAAAAAGCTACTTTTGTTTCAGTTTTGGTCACTTCTAGTCGCTAATTTTAAAAATATTATATTATAGTTATTTATATTACCGATTCATTAAATTTTGATTAATTATATTATCGATTATTATATTTTTACCTATGAGCCATTAACTCTTAATCTTATATATATATTTATATATAGAATACTTTAAAAGCATTATTTAGCTCATCAACATGAACAATATTAGATGATAGTTAAAAGTAAAACATGATATATAAATGACGTGTTATTTTAATATATCACGTGATGAATAGCGATGAGCTAGAAAATAAGTAAATTGATAGGATTGATATTAATAATTTTACGTCATGATTTAATCTTAACTCACATGTTATGTTATAAAATGATATAATAATTTAAAATTAAATGTAACGATTAATAATTAGGAGGTAATTGTTAATGAGTTATCATAGACACAGTAATCCCTAAGTAAGAATTTTTTTTTTCTTTCGATTTCTAACATTTTTATCCTGATTAATTCATATCGATTTACTTCGCACATTTAATTTTGATAGGTGATTATCCTAGTAAAGAAATTTTACATATACAAAATTTCATACTCGAGACCTACTTAAGTGATATCAAGTTGCTTATCATTTGAATTAACTCGAATCGGTCCTTAATAAACATTCTTTTAACATTAAAGTATACTATTATAAAAAAGAATAAAGTACACAAACGATCCCCGATTATAGGATAATATTTTATTGAGTCCATTGACTATTAAAAATTATAAAATAATCTCTCAACTATTAAAAATTATAAAATGATTACTTGAATATTCATTATGTTCCAATGTAGTCCTTTTCCGTTAAAAATTTAATGATTATCTTAGCATTAACATGTTGACTGAGATACAATAGTCATTTGAAAAACTGTTTTGTTGTTTTAATCAGTTAAACCAATTATGGCCAGCTCGAATATTGTCTAATTCTTGGTTCCACTAAAAAAACGAATTAACTAATAACCGAACTTTAATAAAAAAATTAAACGTTAGCCGATCTAACATTTAATTATTCAACTGATTAATTGAACTAAAATTTGATTTTACCGATTGATTCGAATAAACTTGAATTCAAATAAAATTGAACAATGAACACTCCTAATCGGGACGGAACACGGTACGAACGACATAACGTAATAAACACAAGGTAATACATTTAAAACGTGTACAATATTCATATTTGCATACTTGATTTATCACCTAGAGAGAGGATTTGCCTGATGATGTTTCTTTAGTTGAACTATAAAAACAGTATATAACCTGCCGTCGAAGCCACTCGGGTTTTTTCTCTTCCCATCGGTCCGAACAAATTCCGAAAGGGAATAACTAAACGTTTCTCCAAATTATGATATTAAATCACTCACCGGTTTGAAAGTTCGAACGTAAAATTAATCTCACCCGAATCACCCCGACAGACTTTTCCTGTTCCATGGTAAATAACTCGTGTCTCCGTAAGGCCTGCAAACAGCAAGATTATCGATCTGTTAACGACTTCATAACATTTCCAAAAATCCGAGGAGATGCTATCCACCGGATAATGGTGTAGTCTTTGAAGGGTAGAGGTCATTACCTCTTGAATTTTTACCTTCGATATTTTAGATGGAGCAGCGTAAAGACGATGGCGAGGACAAGAGAAGAGCATCCGACAATGATGCAAGCATGGCCGAGGAAGTTGTTCTTTCCCCCCAACCAGCTTGATGTTGAAAGAACAAGCTTCTTTTTACCGCCAAAACTGTAAGTGTTGTAGTTGTTCATTAGATTGACTACTATGACATCATCGACATCCAGATCCTCTTCGATTCTACCGTACAATTTCCGGAAGCTAGGGAGAGCGGATGTACGCATCCATACAATAAGATCCTCCTGGTCGCTTAGCTAATGATTTTAATGCATCCATTTTTACAGCAGCCAAAAAGAAAGAACAAAGAAATGTGGTTATTGCAGGATATGTCATCGGTCATTTCGAAAACATGTATTTCGAGTAAGTAATGATGATAAAAGAATTGGAAAGAACAGGGTAGCAGGTCTCGATACCAAGCTAATACTTACAGGAATTTTTGGATACAGTTTCCCGCCACCGATCAAGGTTCCATTTTGGAAACTGAAAGGATGAACGTTTTTTCCAAATTTGTGATCTCGATCACTCTTCCATGCAATGTTCTTCCTGTTAACTTTAAGTTCTGCTCTCTCGCGAATAAATGTAAATGAATCATTAAATAAACTCCATGCTATCAATCCACAAGGAACAATAGGTTGACCGTTGTTCAACTCAACAGGTTGACAGGAACTCGTGTCATGATACTTCCGACCATGCAAGAGTTGCTTATCGCTTCTGCTTTTGACATACCTAGAAAACATATAAAACAAAGGAAATGCAAATCGAAGAAACTACGGAGAATAAACATAACTTTGGAGTAATTGTAAATAACAAATATAACTAAACTACCACGGCTGAAAAGAGTGCAGCGTGCAGCAATTTAAAAGCTCTGGATCAATTTAGCATCAACGTTGACCAAGCTAAAGCATTAAATGGTTAAGCAAAAGAGTCTGTACCTTCGATGGTTCTGATAATAATTATCGAGCTGATAGTAAATGTTAATTGGAGCTTTCATGTACTTGCGAACCTACAAAGCAAGTTATAGATGCAAAATAAACACATATGAAAGGAAAAAAGAAGAAGACACATTTCACAGATCAAAGATTTCAACACGTTCCTTTAACAAGTGTAACCAGAAACCTATCACAAGCAGCATTTTTAAGACCCACGGAAAGGTATTCTACGAAGAACAACGCACCTACATTTGAAGAAATACCAACCACAAAAAGATGCATAGATGACCACAAGTACATTGGATAATTCTTGCAGACAAAATTGAAGGGGGTAAAAACAGCATTTTAAACTTTGTTGGATGCAAATTTAATTCATCGAAAAAGAATATAATTTGATTTCACCAACTACTTAGAGTTTGATAGGCACAGTAAAGCAACTTTGTGATACATTAGTTCAGCTAGCCTTCCTTCCAATTTGAATAAACTAAACTTTCACTGATAATCAGATGTTTTAACTCGGTAAATTTCAAAGCCTAAGAATAAGTAATAATCCGGAAGGAACTCAATTGCAGTCTTACACTGCAAAATGGTTGAAAATATAGCTTGGCCTACAGTGAATTGCAAGACACTTTCCATAGCGAATCCCAGATGGTCAGGATAATACACAGAAATGACTATGCCAACTTAGAGGTTACTTACTTGAAAAGGTAGTCAAGATTGCCCTTCCGAAAATATATCAAATACAGAAAGGAAGTATTACCTTCATGAAACGCGAACAATTCTTGGGAATTGAGTCATCTTGGATATATGAAATTTTATCAATTCTAGATGACTCGGGTACACATTCAATATCATATCGGTCCACAATTTCAACAACCTACCAATCAAATAAAAATAGTTATTCACAAGTATGTTCTCGATATAACAACAGATGCCACGAAATGTATTATAACAATAACTAGGCAGAGATAACAAGAACCAAGGAATGGATAATTACACTATGAGAAGCACGCAGAGTAACCAGGCCAACAGGAATGAAAATTAAACCCATAAACAAAAATATCGTAATAACCTGTAGAAATGAAAGTGGCGCTTATCAATAAAAATAGATAATAATCAGCACTAAAGACAGCCACCACAACAAAGTGCAAGTTAAATATTAGCCAGAGATAAATAAAAAATTCAAGTATTAAAGAAAGTTGTCATGCTCTCACCCATCCTGGTGTTAAGACAGGTTTGCAAGCTGGAAGACTTTGCTGAGTAAACAAATAAAATGCTGCAAAATGTTTATGAGGTATTATTTGATTGCTCAGCAGACTAAACAGCAAGTCCAACTAATCCTGAAAAACAATATTGGAGATGATAGCAGACAGCTTTCCTACCACTTCATATAATATAGTACTTCTGATATGAAAACCAAATTTTCAATAAGAGGCAGGCTCGGACTCAGGTGGAGTATCTATGCATATGCATTCATGTATGTCTATGTATCATCCAACCGTCTGCTGTTAGCAGTTAGAAATTAGCATAACTATCCATTCATTTAAATTTTCAATATGTTCTAAACAATACTCGATGGCTATTATGGAGAAAAAATTTAAACAATGCACCATCATTCCACTGATTATTCTCACTGCTGCAACTCCCCAAGTACAAAAGATTTGATGACAAATGCTCGTATACATTAATTTAATAACAGCCACTGTTGCATGTGAGGGTGCAGCCACATGGTTGAACATATTCGCTTAACACTTTTCGATGTACAAACTGGTAGAAAAATGCAAACAATGCAGGTAGTGGACACATATAAAGAACAAAAGGACTCGTATTTTGTACCATTTATGTTTGTCTATATGTCTTCACATGCAGGTGGAGCGTGAGAACATGCACAAACACTAGGGAAGCATGCATATCTCTGCCTTTACAGCCATCTTAGGTGGTACCACCTATGTGGTGATCTCTTAGAGTGTCCGTTCAAGGGAGTGTGTGTTGTGCGTGTATCTAAATAAAACCAAACCAACAAAGATATGAAATAAAAAAGCCTCAAGAGTCCAAAAACTAAAAACAAAGATTCAAAACAGAAAAATAAACAAAACAGAAAAATAAACCTGTTTCCCTGATTCTGTATCTCTCTCTATTTGGATCTGTCATTTCTGAAAACTCAGCTTTGTTCTACCACCCCCACCAAAATACAACAATCCCTTAACGCAGCCTCTAAGTTTTCTGGATAACAACACACCAATCAAATCAGCAAAGCAGAAACCTCCACACAAGCCATACCAGAAACAAAACCTCATTTTCATGCAGGCATTTTTAAATGAAAAAGTTCGGCATGAAACCTCAACTATAATAGAACACAATTCAAATACATTCTACATTTCATCGTCTTCATTGTTCGATTCACATTCAACAATTCTCCGGACACAAGCATTTTACAGTGTTGATTTCCATTACATCCCCTTTCAGTTCCACGGTTTGCTTCCCTTAGGTTACAATTTACAAATTCATAAAGTTATAGCTCCAATTAAACTCAAAACATAGCTCAATCTTAGCCGGCTTCAATTTCAAAATATCTTATTTTTTGCAATTTCAAAGCAAGCAAACGGAGCATAAAGTTACGGATCACAAATTACAATAATTTCATTAATCCTGATTCTAAAACAGTAATAATGAAAAAAAAACTACTTCCTGAAAACTAAATAACAAACGATCCAGAACATTAAGTAAGCTTCACATTTATTTTCTCTCACATTCACGGCAATCTCTATAGCTAGGATCAAATTTAGGGGAAAAAAACGAAAACGAGAAGCGAAGATCGAGAGACTTACCTGATGTGATGAGAGATATGAAAACGAGAGGCGCGTTAGGATTCCAATTTCCCTTTTATTCGATAATTGAACTGAAAGTGAAAGTTCTTTGGTTGAGGTAATTAGAATCTTTCGAATCTATCTATCGTGTTTTCAATTTCTTCAAGAGGGAAAGGGAAGGGAAGGGGAAGATGACGAAGTCAAGCAGCAGAAAACTAAATAAATAAATATTCGTTTTATTTGGATTTTGATTAATTCTTTTCCGGTAAATTATGCATTTAGTATCTAAACTATTAATTTTGATTCATTTTAGCATCTAAACTTTAATTGTTCCAAATTCATACCTAAAGTTTAGTTTTTGTTTCATTTTAGTAACCGTTCAAAATTTAGTGTTCAGTTTAGAAAGACTGAAACTTTAGGTACTAAAATGAACAAAAACTAATAGTTTAGGTACTAAACACATTAAATTTTAAATAACAAAGTACTAAAATGAAATAAAAACTAAACGTTAGGTATGGTTTTGAAAAAGTTGAAAGTTTAGATAATTAAAGCGGACTAAAATTAATAGTTTATGTACGAAATGTATATTTTACCCATTCTTTTTTTCATATTTTTTGTTATTTAAATCATTTTCTTATTTTTCTTGGATTTTGAAAAATAATATATTATCAAATTATACATTATTATTTTGAAAAAAAAAGTAAAAATATAACTCATGAAAAAAAGTTGTGTATTATATTTTACAATTGATTTTTAAAAGGGTAAAGTTACTTTTAGTTGTTGAATTTGATAATTTTTTTCTTAGTTTGGTCCTTGAATATTTTGGGGAGGAAACTAAGATCCAACATTGAAAGAGCCAATTTTATTTATATTAAAAGAACATGGACATATTTAATACTTAAACCTAAAAATTGAGAGAACTCAAGACCTTCTTTAACTAATGTTTAAATTGAAAATGATCTAAAATAGTATTGGGTAAAGTACATAAATGGTCTCTTAATTATATGGTATTGTTTTATTAAGTCATCGACTATTAAAAATTACAAAATGATCTTCTGACTATAGAATGTTGTTTTGTTAAGTCTCTCGACTATTAAAAGTTACAAAACAGTCACCACTAGTATTCATTATGTTCAAACTTGGCCTTTTCCATTTTCTTACACTTAAACCTACAGTAAATTCATGAGTAACTCTTATTGTCTTCCGTTTTCTTCTTTCTTTTTGACCCATTTCCTACCTCTATTCCTCCCCTCCCCCACAATTAGCCACCGGTTGATGCATACACCGGCCGGAAAGGATCGATGATAGCGCGACTGAGTGACCGAAAATGATGGACGAGTCCGTAGAGAACCGGTGTCTCCTATTGAACATCACTACCTACAATGGAACTTGGCATTGTGACAACCCTTTCGGCGAAACTCTCCCGCTCTTTATCACGCAGCTCGCCGTCATCTTAATCATCACTCACTCCCTCTACCACATTTTCAAGTAGTTACATCAACCTCGAATCATCTCCGACATCCTCGTAAGCGACATTTTCTCGAATGTTCGATGTTGTTACCTATGTGTATATGTTAGCAGGGTGGCATATTGTTAGGTCCATCTGAGCTAGGGAGAATGATGTACTTTGCGGATTTGTTTCCGACACGGAGCGTTATTACGGTTGAAACGTTGGGGTTCTTGGCACTTGTTCTTCACATGTTCTTAGTCGGATTAGAGCTTGATTTAACCGCGATCGGTCGGATAAGCAAGAAGGCAGTGGTGCTCACTATAACAGGCCTTTTCCTTCCCTTGATTGCAGGGATTGTTTTCTTCTATTTGTTGCGTGAACTTTTGGACCACAAGGCACATAAATATTACCACCAAGAATGTGGTTTCTTGTGGGCGGCCTCGTTGGAGGTCACGAGTTTTCCGGCGGTCAGCCAGATTCTATCTGATCTCAAGTTGCTCAACTCCGAGAACGGACGTCTGGCGTTGCCGATCGCCCTCATAAGCGACTTGGTTTCGTGGATTCTAGTTGTGATTTTGATACCATTTTGTAGTAACCCGTTACACGCCCGTATGTTATCACTACGACAACGGCCTATGTATTGGCCTCTTATTACTCTTTTCACCCGTTCCTCGCATGGATCGTTAATTACACTTCTGAAGACAACAAAAACTTCAGCGATAGTTACTTGCGTTTTGCTCTCGTCAGCGTCGTTTTAAGCGCGTCCGTTACGGATGTCACCGGTACTCACCCAATCGTCGGTGCTTTCATATTCGGGCTCATCATGCCTGATGATCTCGCCATCGTATTGAAGGACCGGTTCGCTTACTTCATTTCCGAACTATTGATGCTGGTTTTCTTCGTCATCGCCGGCCTCCGAGTTGACATCTTCAAAATAACAAAGTGGAGCCTCGTATTCTTCGTTGTAATCTTACTTTTCTCCGTTAAGGTCATCAATTTCCTACCGGTCTCGGCCGTCTCCAACATTAACACTAAAGATAGCTTTGCTCTCGGATTACTTATGAGCACCAAGGGAATATGGGCCGTTCTTATTGTTCTCACTGGCTTGGACCACAAGGTACCTTCCCTCTATATTTCGATGTCGGTCTTTTATTATATTCGATTTAAAAATTTAGTTCTTATACTTTAATTTGATCGTAATTAGGTTTTACGGGACGGCGATTATGCAGTGACGATAATTGCGATTCTATTCATGAACAGCATAATTGCTTCCACCATTGCTGCCATTTATAAGATGACCAAAATTTTTGTAAAGAGGAGTAGTAGGAGCATCAAAGAAGCTAAAAGTGAAGCCGAGTTACGAATTCTTGTATGCATCCATTCTTATTGCAACGTTCCGGGTATACTAAAGCTCCTCGGTGCCACTCATGATTCTCGACGTAACCATATGACGGTGTTCACCCTCCACCTCATCGAGCTCCCGGGCCGGCCGGCGGCGATGATTATCATGCATGACTCGCATACTCCCCGGTTTGAAGACTCCGGCACGATGACCATGTTTACAATAGCTCCGAAATCGATCAAATCGTCACGGCCTTTACCGAATTCGAGAGCAAGACTCGCAATGTCCGGATCCAATCACTCACCACGGCGTCACCGTTCGTGGCCATACACGGGGACATTTGTAGTTTAGCCGAAGACAAGCATGTGACATTCTTAATTTTACCATTCCATAAAAGAGCAACTAAAGAAGGGACTCTACGGGAGACCATCACTTCCTTTCGGAACATAAATCAAAATGTGCTTCTCAATGCTCCGTGTTCGGTCGGAATATTCATTGACCGAGGGCTCGAAGAGGCCAAAGTCTTGGATCCCGACGAAGGAATCCATGACATAGCAGTGTTATTCCTTGGCGGAGTCGATGATTGTGAAGCATTAGCTTATACATGGAGGATGTCAAGGAAGCCTGGAGTTAGCTTAACCGTTATAAGATTGTTAGAAATAGATCTCGGCGATTCCTTGAAGGAGAATGACATCGACGACGATTACATAAACACGTTCCGAACACAAACCGCCAACCAAGAGAAGACTTTGCACGACGGGAAAGAATTGACTGTCACATTGAAAGAAATGGAGAACAAATTCGAGTTATTCATCGTGGGGAGACGAGAGGGGCTAAAGTCATCGATAAGGACCGAGTTACACGACATGATCGAGTGTCCGGAGCTCGGGGTCATCGGCGACTTGTTGGCGTTATCGGATTCAGCCACGAGCTCCGTCCTAGTGGTGAAGCAATTCATCGAAGCCATCGATAGCCAAGTGATAGAAGATTTGGTCCGGTGGTCGTTGACCGAACGGTGATGTACTTCGGGAGTCGGCGGCTAACGACGGCAACTAGCAATAGGATGTGGACGCAACACTATGATTCTAAAGAGAAACTGGAAACGAACCATGGAGTTGATGATCATCCATAGGAGGCTAGAAAATCAGGATAGTTTTAGCTATTTAAACAGCGAGATTACGTCATTTAGTGTTTTTCCTTCCCATTTGTTTTATTTTGTAAATTCTTTGTAATCTTATAGAGAGTGTGTGTATATATATTAACAAATATTTATATAATACAATATGTAAACTATTCATAGTTTTTAAACCTTTTAGAGTTAATTGTATCACATGTCCCAAATTTATTACTCGTTTCAAATTTATCCCTAAACTTTTTAAATATTTCAATTTAATCCTAAATTATATGTATATATTAATCACATCTCTTGTTAATAAAATCATTAGGCCAAGTTATATTATTATATGGTTGAAAAAAATAAAATTTAGGTTAAACTATTATTGAAATGGATTACATATTTGGATGAATTTGGGTATAAAATTGGAAGATCTAAAAGTTTAGGGACCAATTTAGAATGTGATTCATAGTTTGGGGATGAAATTAGAATGTTCACAAGTTTAAGTACTAATTTAGGATGAGAGTCATAGTTTGAGGATAAAATTGAAATGTTTAAAAGTTTAAAGACTAATTTAAAATGAGAATCATAGTTTGGGGACATATGATGAAATTAACTCAACATTTTAATAAAAGATAATTACACTTTTTCTCTTAATTTTCCCTCATTGGTAAGTTGTTCATCATTTTACTTTCAATTTTATCGATCGACAACATTACCAAATTTAATATTGGTTGTCGATACCAATTTTTTCTATTGTCATTTTATTTTATTTTATTTTTTTTTGTTTTTAATAAGTCTGCATGAATGTCACACTTTCATGTCTTTATGACATTTTCTTATGCTTTTTGACACGTTTTTCGATCGTTTGACCGTTGTTTTCATTTGTCTTTTACCAAGGGGTGATTTGATATCGTCACGACTGATCAAGATAACATTTATATGTTATATTGTTGATCCTCCCTGCTTTAAACTCTCGGAATGGATTTTGATACCCGTTATATGTTTGTGGATAACTTTTCACGCTATTCGAGATTGATTTACGATTTGACGGTAATCTTTCAATAATTTGATTCCCTTTTGTGATTTGTTTATCGATACGATCAGACTATTATATGCTTATTTGATTCTTTTTTTTGTATAGCTTTTCACGTCGCTCGAGTTTCTTGGTTAGGTTTTCATCTTTCCTTATAAAATCCTTATATAATCTTAAGTTGCTAGTTTTGTTTCAATGATTATGAGAAATTGTCTTAATTATATATTTTAACTATATGTTTAATTTACGATTATGATTATAAATTTTCATTATAATTTTAGATATTAACCTTAATTCTTTTTTTTTCTTCTCACAACAATAAAAATTGCATTTAGTATTGAATTATGTCGCATAGAATCTACATTTTCATCAATGAATGACCCAAAAACTTCAAAACAAAATTCAAAAGGAAACACAATATATGCAGGGTTTTCTGCAATGTTACAACAGAATGGAAGATAAAAGAAAGATTTACTTCCTCTAACTTGCTTGCCTGCCTGTTCTGTACCATCGACGTCTCCGCCGGTCAAAGGCCGAAATCGCTAGTTTCAGCTCGACGGGGAAAAATCGAGGCCATTTTTACTCACAGTTGTTGCAATCATATTTTTATTTTTGCTCTAACTCGATGAATCATGCTTTCTCAGGCCTGTAATGGTGGAACCAATATATGTGGGTTAAGAACATGGTAAATTCTGATAATCTCTAGTTCGGAAGAAGCTGCGTCGCAGAAAAGAAACGTCGTTGTAGAATTCGGAAATTAGTTACTGGTTCGTCGGGATTAAGAGCTTACAGTTAAAAGAGGAATCTGAAGAAGAATGAGTGAGGTGCAATACAAGCAGAGGGAAATGGCTACTCCATATATGAAATTATATAGCAGCCGTTGGTTGTCTTTTGTTGGTATGATAGTGGACTTAAGTGTGTTTGTTAGTTCGAACAATCGATGAGATACCTGCGGAAGGGCAAGATGAATGGCCAATGAACAAATTAACCGTTCGTTCGACAAAATTCGGAAGAGCGGAGAAAATTTGCTTACCAAGACATAAATGGCAGTTGTGAGAATAAAGTTGAGAAGTGGATATTCTGGGATAAACGAAAGAAGCCATTTGGGTTGTCCGTTAGACACGTCTGACCTGCACTTATGAGAATGTTATAGACCTGTAAATTTGCTACTCTTTCACCACTGAACCGGAAGCAGAACTATTTATCTAGGTTAACTTATATAGATTTTGAGTAACCAATTTAAATGACGAAACTTTGAACGAACCTCAGCCAGATATGAAACTGGGAAATGTAAGTCTCTAAAGTTATCTTGCCGAGCCACCTGAGAAGCACGAAAGTGTAGCATAATTAGGCTTAAGTGCAAAATAACAACGGATGCACTGATCGAATGATTTAGTCATAGTGTAGAAACATACGCAAAGAGAGTCAAAGAGTAATTCCTAAGCTGCTGGGTACAATTCCGCAAGCAAATGTAGACGCTAGAATCACAAGAAAGCAGAGAAGAAGATAGTCAGATGACTCAGATCCCAAAAATCAAGCTGAAGTATTCGGAGTAAACTACAAAAAGAAATCCTTAATACGCACGTTATCGGAATCCAAGATGTGTAGGGATGGTATTTGTTGTATGTAACCTTGTCGAGCTTGTAGATATATTCGTACCACATATAGCCAACCTGACGCATATAAGAACATACACAACAAGAAGAAGCTTCCATCAAAAACCAATAAGCATAATCGGAATAATAACGATCGAAAGATCAGTCAACTTACGAATGAAGAAACTGCAATCACGCTTGCTTTGATTGAGATTTTCTTCTTGGGTTCACATTCCTCCAACTTTTCCATCCATTTCTCGACCTAAGATTCAAAACATTGTAATGAGATTGTTACTTGTGCACCAAGTGACATGACTTTCGGGTAGCTAAAAAGTTTTAACAACTTACATTGGGGTGATAATAAGCATATATCATTCCGATTATCCATATATAGCGGTCGAGACCGGATCTAAAATGCCACTCATACAAACGAGGGAGATCAGGTTTTGCAGGATCTGTGTAACCTGCCATTTGAAGGGAGAAAAATAACTGATATAAGCAAACGGCTATAATGTATCGAAGCCAGGGGTGGAGGCAGATGGGGGCTGGCAAGGGCCATGCACCCCCCTAAATGGTGTAATTTCATTTTTATCCCCTTCAGATTCAAGTTTAAAGATGGAAGTAACGGTAGAATTCCCTTTTGGCCCCATCAAAAATCATAAAAGAAGTCGAAGAAAGAAGCAGGCAGGTTGCTGACCTAAAAGGAAAGCCAAAGGACTCCAGAATACTTCAAAGACTCCAGGAACTTCCCAAATAAAGATAACCGTGAGAAAACATGCCAGAATTTTCACGGCCATCACCGAAGGTTTCTCATTATACTTGTTGAAAATCCCAAGAGCTCCATACACCATCAACGTGAAAAGTGTGTGCATTGGACAGATGTAGTAAAGCATATAGTCATTGTTGAGAACAATGCAGCAAAACGCCACAAAGAAGTTTAGCCGCCACATCATCTGCATCAAATTATAAATGATCTCGGGTTTTCTTATAGGTATAAAAATATGAGATACACAACTGGAGTGCTGTTATGGCATTTTATCTCAAAGAGAGAATATTACCTGGGTAAAACGTGCTAAACTAAAATCCTTTCTAATATAATAGTATGAGAAGTTGCCAAATCCAGTCATCCAAACATATGCAGCAATGAAGACACGTATTGCATTATATATCTCCGTTGCAGCAAAGTAATGGTACATTAGAAATAGGACCTGTAAAAGCCAAAAACACATGTAAGTGCAGCTGATTAAACTCCAAAAATCTATTTGGTGCAGAAGAGAAGGTCAGCGGATATCATGGATTCCCATGGAGCTGCAAACAAAAGCAATGTAATAATCTGATAAAGATTGAAATTGACCCATGCGATACATTGCAGATCTAAAGATCATCCAACAAAAAAACACTCACCTGCATCCATCCTTTCCATTCTTCAGTCTGATGCCTACTGAGGTACTGCATGGCCTTTCCTGAGAATGCTGATTTATCATTATGTTTCGTCAAAGAAGTCATTGCTGAAACTATGATGAGAATAGCATAAAGGAAGAGGAAAAGGTCACGGTTGTACTTCTGCAGAACAGAACACACATAAGAAATAATACACATTAGATAAATAATTCCCTTCTTACAGATTAATATCCTCCAAAAGCTGAGTAATCAAGGAAGAAGCAAGTACAAAGGTAAGAAATAAGATTGCTTATACAAATAACATTCGCCTAGAAGGAAAGTAAGAAAAACAATGAGGTCCGAGGGTACTGGAATGTGAAATTTACTTGAAGAGCTTTTACAAAACCAGGAAACCCAGATTAAATCATCTTATGTTCCATAGGGAAGGGGAGAGGAATAAAAACCAACAAGAAAGCACAGATGAGATCATGACCAAAACGCACTACAAATATGATTACATATAAAAATGAAAATCAAGACCCTATTAGGTATGCAGATGCAACAGTATACTAGGGAAGCTTTTCAGAGAGAAAGAGAGAGAGAGAGAGAGGAAATCATGAAAACCAAATTACAATCGATTGCACAAACAAGTACAAATGCACCTTGGTAGATTCTCCTAGTAAATTTGTGCGGTCACATATATAGAAGTAAACTAGGATAGCACCAAATTCAGCCCTGCATTAGATTGAATAGTGAAAAATAAGACGAAAAAGAAATCTGACAAAAAAAGTGTATTTCTGCATATGACTAACATTGCTCTCAAAATTGCTCGATTTTCCATCAGAAAAGAGTCTTCCATAGTCAAAAACCTGGAAAATCATAAGAAGTTAATAG